GGCTGCTCCCGACGAGCTGGATGGCGCCTTGCATGGCTGCCGTCGCCCGTCGGTGTATGAATGAGTGTGTGAATGGGTGAATGTGAGGCAAATGTAAAGCGCTTTGGTGGCCATTGGGTCTGTGAAAGCGCTATATAAATGCAGTCCATTTACCATTTACCATTTAAATACAAGTTCTCCACAGCGACTCTAGGGGTCGCTGTTTGACAAAACGGAATTCCTGCATAGTGTCCCTTTAAGAATTGGCGTTCCCTATAAGATTGGCTCATTTCCTTTAAGAACGAAAGATGGAGCAACACAGTTTTTGACAGGAGTTTATTTATTGTTTATTTTTTGTTTGTGCAAGAACTTTCAGTAAACAAATTAAACCTGAACGAAGACCCGAGTCAATTCTTTGCCCGAAATAATTACGAAGGATTATTGCTACTACAGTGGCAATATGTATTATGTACAGTTCACCCAAAATGAAAATTACATTGTGAGAAAAAAAAAACTCTAATTTTCAGAGTTTTAGTGTCAGTACTACATTAAACTAGTATATATAATGTTGAATATAATGTATAATAAGGCAATGGGGAATATTTGTGGGCCCTGATAATGACAAATGTCTTATGTTACCAGTAAAAAGTGACCTACATTATTTTAAATAAATCTAGTCAGTGACAGAGTGCAAGCATATTCGTCTAAAATAATTCTGTATTTTCAGCTTCAGATTCAGAATCATGAATATTTTTATCCTGGTGTCACCATTGTCACAGCAATGGTTTACAAGCACCAAGTCCCAGCCTATTCATTGACACACACACTGTAATATCAAATTTAGCATTTTAATCAACAGTACATTTTTTGTTCATCTTTTATGAAATGTCTTGAAGTATCGCAATAATATCGTATTGTGAGTTCAGTATCGTGATATGTATCGAATCGTGACATGAGGGTATCGTTACACCCCAATTGCTTACACAAATGTAAAATAATGCGATCATCAAACATTAAACATCATATAAAAGATCAAAACTGCCTAACATTACCTAATGAAATGTCGACGCAGGAAGGGTTGACGATTGTGAAGCTTTAGGGGTGTTGATGGACTCGATCGACTCCATTTATGTTTTGATCATCGTTCTGAATCCAATCCGGACTTATTCTTTGACAAAAATGTCAAATCTCAGCTTTTTGTTTAAAATTTTGCTTTTTTTAATTAAACCTACCCACATTAAAGCTGCAGTCCGCTGTTTTTGCTCTTTGTCGCAATCTCTGTTTGAAATCTGCAATTGCAGTCATTCACGGAATTATCAACTTTACGCGAGTTGTACCTCGGCACATCACAGCGCGGATGAACACAATGTTTCGATGGAGAATGTGCGGCTGTCAGTCACTGCGCCGGTGTGGATCCTGGCATTCAGAATCACAGATTATTCTTTTTGGAAGTATGACCAACATAAGAATTTTCACCCTTAAATGTCATCTGAACAAGTAAGTAACACCCACTTTTGTTCTTTCATCAACTAAGGGAAAAAAACCATTGCAGTAAATCACGCTGATTAAATCTAACGATCGCTTATCATATCACGTCAAACCGAGCAAATTATACTTTGTTCTCAAATTGTTAATGTTAACAACATCAGCATTGCGTGACTACATTTAATGCCCTTCAGATATTTATCCTTGTTTTTGCATGCCCAGTTGCAGTCTCTTTTTCCAAACTCTCAGTCCAAAGTCTTGCATTTTACATCGGGTGAATCTCCAGTTGTCACTGGTGATTGTCGTTTGAACCTTTCTGGATCCGCCATAAAATTAATAAGTTTAATTATATCAAGTGCTGTGAGAAAAGGCTATAAATCTCCACCTCCAAAATCCTCACACTCATAGCCTACTTGCCGAGACTCCTTCTTTATGTGTACAGATGTGACGTAATAATGCAAAGACATGCTCTAATTTCCCGCGGAAATCCACCAGTACCACTGGAATTAAAAAATTTTTTACAAGCTTACCGTTTTGAATCGAGCTAAGGCAAGCAGATAGTTTTGAACACTGGCTGGTTATGTACTTGCTCAAAAGTTTATTTTGGATAATTTTTAACCCAAAAAAGTTACGGACAGGAGCTTTAAGTATATTTAATACAATTAACTTGAAGTATACTTCTTTTTAGTAAGGGGTGTTATGAATTGATGGTGTAAAACTCCGGATGAGTCTTCTTGCGTGCGTGTTTTTAATGTGTTTTGAAATGAATGACAACTGAGATCCCACAGTTTGACATGTTCAGTACAGTCGACAGTAATAAAGGACTATTATAAATCGTACAGTGTGAACCCAGGATCAGTCAAAACCGTGTCGGCAATAAGAATAAAAGATTGCCGTCATTATTACAGACTAAATGTAGACAATTATTTTTTTCCGACACAAAGTCTAAAACTACCTTTACTAAAACAACACACTTTTAGTGTGACTGGCAAAATTAGTCCAGTTTAGAGATGACATTACCTTGAAATGATGCCTCACTGTCCTAGTTGTTGCCAATAGTACCTAATTTTAAAGAGGGAAAAGTCACGAGAAAAAGCCTTGGTCTAATATATATTATTTCAGAGTAAAATAAATGAGAGAGAAGGTAATGTATTCTTTAATGAATTTCTCTAATTCATCTAAAAGGTCAGGTGAGGGTGATAATTGACATCTCTTGTAATAGTGCAAAAAAGCTGCTTGAACATTATTCAAGATACTAAAAATAATATCTAGTCTATGTACATACAATAATGTACACTTATTAATGTGTTGATTCTTGTTGGCAGTTTTTTAAAATTATGATTAGTTTAATGATTATGAACACAATACCATGGCAAACCATATACAACTGATGAAAGCACAAAGCTGGCACGGGGTATAATTACAATGTAAGTAGCTTTTATTTGACTGTAAATAAGCTGCATGTAGGATTAAACTATGTGACTGTGACATTGTTTCTGTGACAACTCTCTGACGAACGAGTGAGCGATTTCAGACACAATAACGGAGTAACAACGAGCTTGCTCAATTCCTGTGCTGGAGTCAACTCCGACACTAGGGCGTGTGTTTTAGCCTATTATGGATTATATTGAATTAATTATCAAATGAAACCACAATAATTATACAGTGGTGAGATCATGGCTAGTTTATTTTTGAATTTTTTATTTCTTTTTTATCTACAGTACAGGTTTCAGGTTTTATAATTTATCAATGTATCAAAAACTAAAATGAATTTGTTGCAAATTTTTTTTTTTTTAGCTAGTAGCGGATTGTAGAAATAATATTAGAAGTAGTAGTTTTTTTAAAAATTCGATTACCAACAAGGTTTACAACATAAAACAGTGTGTTACATGTTGCTCTGAGAATGTTATTTACTTGATTTCTTGTCTGTGTCATAAAAAATATCAAGGTAAAACTATTAGACAAAACAGAACATGAAATATTGAACATATGAGTCCTGTGAGAAGAAATAAGAAATTATTACACTGCACTGTGGATTGGTCAATCGCGGCATCCACCGGTATGTTAATCCCAGAAAACAACCGGTAAAACTGATAACAAAGACTCATCCGGGTACCTGAAGTCAGCGCTACTCTTGTTTGAATGAAATTTATTTGTGGAAGTTTGTGCGTTAGGTGAGCAAACAAAATATTAAAACTCAACTAAATAATTGTACACAAAATATTGATTTATGTCATGTGGTTATTGCAGACTCGCTCTCTTGTTTCATATAAACGCAGCTGCTGCCATTTTGCGACGATTGTTTTTTACACGGTAACGGATTATAAGATAACAAACCGGTAAGATTTTAAAAGTTTAATTTCAAATCAATATCTCTTATCCCCATAATTATGTTATGTGGTGAAATGCTGATTATTAAGTGGTATGACTGTACCGTTTCTCTTAAATGTCCATCTAGTTTGAACTTGCAGTGCTTGCTAGCAACTGCTCTCTTCACATAGGGGTCCTGATCACCCTGTCGGGGTTTATTCTGCGATAACAACCGGCTGGATGTACATTATCCTTTACTTGTCCACGTCTCCACGCAGACGGGGAAACATAGAACGTGTCCTTCTTCAGAAAGAATCTAGATGGATATTTTATTTGAAATATTTTTCTCGCCATGGAATGAATGAAAACTTTCTTGAAAAATTGTTTTTAAGTGATATTTTCCTTCGGGTTTTCTCTCTTTTGTTTAATTTATTCCTTGTAAATACGATAATCACATTATGATATTTTTGTTGTTGTTTTTGAATAATGAAAAAAACTTTGTATTATTATTTTGATTAATTATAAAATAAGAAATCCATTGTATAATCTCTTTATTTATATTTCCTTTGTATAATTTTTGTAAAAACTTTTGTAATTGTTTACAATTTTTATGCAGTCTGATATACAGTTTTTTATGCTATTGAGGTATATGTATTTTTTATCAACTTTGATTTTATTGGATATAATATGGTAAAAAAAAAAATATATATATATATATATATAAATGGAATCAGGTGTACTATTGTCTTTGTATTTGGCCTCTAAATAAAGTATTTTTTTGTAATAAATCTACTATGATGTGTGCGAGCTGTTAAACTTTGATATGTTTTTTGAGTTAACGCACCAAAGTAATTTTTATTTACAAATGTTTTCAGTATTCTATGGCTTTTTGGCTGTTTTTGACTTTTTAGCTAGTTTTGTAATGATGCAAATATATTTATTTATATTCTTTATTTATATTTATATTTAGTTATACATATATTTTGTTTAGTTAGTGATTTTTAATTAATTAGCAAAAACTTTGTATTAGAATGGTTAAAATGTGTATATAGTAAAAAAAAGTTGGTTATTGCATTGACCTCAACAAGCTGTTGATTATCGGTCACTGGCCCAGAACAGCCATATCAGTGCATCTTTAACATATACAAACCCTGTCCAGGCGATCCAAAACCAAAAACGGCAATGATGAATATCTGAAAACAACTTAATCTACAGTACTGACAAACCTATGCGGCAGTTCTGCGGTGAGCTTCTGAGACAAATCCTACTCAAGGCGTCCGTCTAGATGGAGAAACAGAAGTATAGGATTGCAAAGTCACAACAGAGTTTTATATAATCTACAGAAAACCACACAAGTATACAGAAAAATAGGGTAAGTTTACTTTGTGAGAGAGCCCCCTGCTGTCGATTTCTATGCTATCAGCTCTGAGAAAGAAAAACCAAACTAATGTTAAAATCACAAGCCAGACTTTCAGTGATTAAAGCACAGACTATCCTGAAAAAACACACGACATATACTATTTCATAGACGTTCGCATGGGATGTTGATGATTTTTCAAAGAAACCAAACACAGACAGCTGGAATGTAATTAAAATCAGTTTTACATTTCTCTGCCGTGTCAGTTTTGTACTGTTGATTATGAAACAGTTTAATGTTAATAAATCAAACATAAAAATAAATCATTCTGAAACTATGTGAAATGAGAAACAAGAACGTAGTTTAAACCTTCCCCAGAGATCTGAACTGATCATATACTCACAGGCTAGCAGAGGATACGGATCGTGACATTAAGAGTGGAGAAGAATAGGGAACTTGTGTCACTGAAGAAGCTGAAATAAACAGAGAAACAGCTCTTTGAAATGATATAATAACTTACAAAAAACACCTGATCTATTTCATAATTACCAGGGCTAAAATATCTTAAACTGTAACAGTTTGGACAATCTGTTCGTCTTACAGATCTAAAGAGAGCTAAAAACATGCTAGAACGCACCTTGTCTTTGACTTGCTGACTGTAGATCTCGGTTGGACTGTAATGCCAGTCTTGAACTGGAATGATTTCAATGACAGAGTACAATGCATTAATAAAGTACAATGTTTAAGGTGTTTTCTTCTTCAGCTCTTCTATTTCCACATCCATCATAAGTTGTTTTTCATTAGAAGGATACATGCCATGTTTACAGTGCATATAAATACTATGACGTTTTATGTTTCTTCATTGTTTTCAGTTGTAAAATATTTTCAAATGTATTTTATTCCTGTAATACAAAGCTGAATTTTCAGCTGCCATTACTCCAGTCTTCAGTGTAACATTCATATTTTTGTTTGGATAATAATATTAGAATAATATTGTTTGGATTAATTGATGAAAAGAAAGTTTGGTAACACTTAAAAGTAGGGTAGGCAATTTCAGAGAGGGTAGCAATAGCAAGCTAGCTTTAAAAGCATGAGATCCTAGGGGTGGGTGATATGGAAAAAATATCATATCACGATTTTTGTCAGGAAAATCACGGTTCACGATTTTATCACAATTGTTTTTCATGTTGGTTTTACCATTTAGCAAGTGACTTGAGCATTACAGCCTAAATGTCCCTATTTTAAATAAATGTGGGCCTCGAGATAGTTCACGTAGTGTAACTGCGCAACGCTTCTGTGTTGTACATCACACGTAGGCTCACTATTGGCCGACGCTGGTCATGTGTGTGATGCGTGTGACGTATAAACTAGAAGTGCTGCGCAGTTACACTACGTGAAATCTCGAGGCCCACAGAGAAGAAAATGAATAGTTGAATAAAGTTGTTATTTTTGTTTGTTTTTTGCAGACAAAAAGTATTCTCGTCACTTGATAAACTTAAAGATAGAGCCACTGTAGTCACTTGGACTATTTTAACGATGTCTTTAACTTTAAAGTTTTGATCCCTTAGAATGGAGTGATCCAATGATCCAGCTCTCAGATTTAATCAAACATATCTTAATTTGTGTTCCGAAGATTAACAAAAGTCTTACGGCATTGGAACAACATCAGGGTGAGTAATTACTGACAGAATTTTCATTTTGGGGTGAACTAACCCTTTAACGCTACTGTTAAAGTTTTCAGTCAAAAGCAGTGAGTGATTTTCTCGTTGTATTTTGTTGTTTAATTAACATTAAAGGGATAGTTCCCACAAAAATGAAAATTGTCAAAAGGTTGTTTTAAACCTTAATAAGTTTCTTTCAAGTCTCATTCTTTTCTGTTGAAAATAAAAGTTATTTTGAAGAATGTGGGTAACCAAAGAGTTGCTGGTCCCCACTGACTTCCATAGTATATTTTATTCCTACTATGGAAATCAACCAGCAGCTGTTTGGTTACCCACATTCTTCAAAATATCTTCTTTTGTGTTCAGCACAAGAAAGAAATGAATACTGGTTTGTAACAACATTAGATTAACTAAATAATGACAATGAATTTTAATTTTTGGGTGAACTATCCCTTTCAAGCGCCAACATGTTTAATATTAGGCGCTACTGTCACTTTAAGACCGGTACGTGACGCGTCTAATATAAACGCTTATGACACGCACCAGATTTTCTCTCAAATGTGTGCTTTCACTTTAGACATAACAAACTATGTTTATGTAAACCTTGTGTGTATTTGACAGTATAAGCGCAATAGGACTCGAAAGATAACTTAGTCCAGTAACCAGGCACTGTTTGACAGGCTTTTCAGAAAAGCGCATGTTAAAACAGCGCATCAGCATGCGAATTAAATGTTTAACCGGCAAGGCATTAAAGCAAATGCAAATAATGACCTTTTGTGAATTGCAGTGTCCCGTGAGTGTTTACATGGTCTACCTCTAAGTAAACATGTGATGTGAATGTACGTCGCGTTGTACAGTAACTTATGTTGAGATGGAGGCGCCAGAACTGCAACTGATAGAATGCAATGTATACGATACAACGATAATTCTTCAAAAGCAGATCGATCAAAAATTGTTATAGCACGCCACACACCCCTACGAGATCCCACCCTACCTTCAGAAAGCTGTCGAAAGCCACACCTTCAAAACACATGAACGCGCACCGCTAAAGCAGAGTCTGCAAAGCGTCACGAGAGATGGCGTTAAATTGCCTCATGTCTAAAAAAAGCAAAAAGCACATAACATTACAAAACTAATGAACGTAAACAACTTACAGAGCTCTGACTTTTACCACTTTTAATCTGACTCCTGCAGTTTAATTCCGCCATTGATAGAAATTTCCCATACACCTGAGTCTGAGGACGTGAACATCTCCAGGGGTTGCCGTCACGGGTTGCCATCTCGTAATTATGGTTATGACATGCTGTGAAGGCAGCATAAGCTTGTTGTTTTTTGATCAGGAGGAACTGTAAAACGTGGCTGCTGTTTGTTTGTGGAGCTCGGTGACTCTGCATAGCCTTACGGAACGTGCTGATGACGTGTGATGTCTGCAGGAGTGCCCAGAGGTATTGACAGGCAGGTAGGACATCCTATGCGTTTAATATTCTATCTATTTTACCGAATGCAATGATTGGATGGGCATTTTTTGGTCCTGAAACTTCCACAGCAGATATGTGCATTTTGTAATATTTAGACCACTTCTAATATTCTTTTATTGAGAATTTAAGTAGGATTTTAGTGAAGAAGTTGACTTGACATAGGCTGTCCATGCATGACTGAGATTGAGCAGTTCTGCCAAGAGGAATGGAGAAAATTGCACTGGACAGATGTGCAAAGCAGTATCCACATACACTCAAGACTGGAGCTGGACAGCCTAAGGTGCATCTACTAAATGTGTTGTATTTATGTTTGTAATATTTTTGGACCAATAGGTTTTCTTATTTCGATATGAACAAATATTTTCCTGGTGATCTGTGCCACAAAAGCAAAAGTAAATTCTTTGTGGTTTAATGTTGTAAAACACAAAGATATATGAGGTGAATACTATTTATAGGCCCTGTATTCATCTATTTAGAGATTCATGTAGAAATACCTTTGATTTTGAACAGTCATCTCTAATTTTGATATGTAGGCATTCTGTTCTGAAATTTTCCTGCTCAAAATAGAAACCAAGATTAAGGCAAAAATGCAAAAAGAAATGGCTTGTACTAATGCGATACTCGTCCTTACTTTGACATCTTCTGCATCTCTTGTTGCATTTTCAGTTCATCCTCCTTCATTCTCTCAATCTGTGCTTAGAGTGTTGTGTGACATTAATTTGATTCAGTAAAAATAAGTCATTTTAAGGGCAGGATTCTCTCACCTTCTGCTGATAGTGGGCCAGTAATCGCTTCTGGTGTCTGGCCTGGAATTGTAAGACCTACAAAGCATAATAAACGTCTTTATAAGTGCTACTGATGCATGATTGATTAACATATCTACAATCTACTCATTTTGTGTACATGATCACCTTGCTTATATCTGAGAAGTACTTGACTGCTGTAACTGCATTGATATCCGAGAAAAGCTCCTGAACCTCTGAGCTGCTCTATGAAAACAATACGCAGCTTAGGGACAGTTCATTAATATTAATCTCTACGACATAAAAATCTCTTGCATCTTACCTTATCAGACAGTGGAGAGATTTGACACTTTGCTTTGCAAATGAGACACACACCTTGATTTTCTTAGGGGGAAACAAACACAGGCTGCTCTTAGTACTATACTATTTCCAGCAGAGGGCAGCATATTCACATATTTAATTCATAATCTCACTAACAAAACATTCATACTAAAATTTTACTACTGCAATTCAATACAAAATAGACAGATAATTTTAATAGGAATATCATAATAGTTATAGGAATAGTTATAACTCACATCCAGTGTTATAAATGCTTAGAGCAACTACAGTTATATAAAAGCAGCACCGATATACCATCTATAAATCTGAACATACCTCTCTGAAAGCAAACATTACAGATGATGTGGCCACAGTTTGTGACAGCCAGCTGACGCTCAGGACCAGGAGACATGAAGCACGAGTTACAACAGATCCAGTGAGACATTATTCTGTTTGAGTACAACAACACCATTACGGCTGTTTGCTTAAACCTCTAAAAGTGAGCTTATAGAGAACACCTGTCCATGCTTGAAGGCCTGTCCATCATGCCCAAAACTGCTGTTTAACTTAATGACAAAAATGTTGTATGCACCTGTTATTGAAACTATGAAACACCATTTCCGCCACATAAGAAAAAAAAAAGGTAATAAACCTGGTTTCACAGACAAGACTTTATTAAGCTAGGACAGAAGTGCTGCCTTAGTTAAATTAGGACATTTAAGTAAGTTAACATGGGCACAGTCGTGAAATATTCTCTTTGCAGAGTACATTTAGACTTCTACATATCAAAATACTATAAACAAACAAACAAATACAATAACATTACTGGCCTGCATCTTGAGACAAAACAATGGAAAGGACATATTTTAAGATATGTAATTGCAAGTTGCTTTCAGTTAAGGCTGCTCAATAATGAATTTTAGTCTGAGACTAGGCTTAGGCCTCGTCTAAGAAACCGAGCAAAAATATGACATACTACTAAATCATAATTATGGAGAGAAAAAAAGATGAGATTAAAAAAATCGATATTTTGATTTTGTCATATCAATTTGTCATGCCAATTAGGACGTTTAAAGACAGAATTTCGATTTAGTATGTCATAATTTCAAATTAAGACAGTTCATAGCACTGTGTTTAATATACAAACTGTGTTCTCTTTTTTTCAGAAAGGAATTATTGACTGAAAAATATGAACTAGACGAATTGCAGTTTTTGAATTGTAAGTTACAACAAGTTTCAAATTGTAAGTTATCAATGTAAGTTACAACAAATGGGGGTTAAAATAAAGGTTAAATTAACCCAATGAGCAGGCAGATGTTTAGCGTTTGAGCTCAATAAACAAATAACGTTAATGTATACAATTCACCGAGGACTTCACGAAAGTTCGCTAGTGCTGAGGACACTAACTAAATCTCAAAAGTAAAAACAACAACAACAAAACACATACCTTGATACCTGTATTTTCCTTTACGCGCTATCCAGATTATTATCAGTTGTGTGTATGCTAAAATGTGGGTTTGCTAGTTTATCAAACAAATTAGCAGATTTAGCTATGCTTATTGGAACGATGACGTCACCGCACGGAAATCGCTCACTCCTTACAAATATGACCATGGTGACCGTAGTTTCCGGCAAATACTACGACTAGTATTTAAACGATTTAAACTGTAAATCATAATGATTAAATACTTACGTTATACTTTAGATAAAAAAAGTTGAACAAAATGTATGTCTGCTATTTTATTTCTGATTAAAGGTGATCGTTTTACTGTAGTAGTAATTGTGTAATTAAGGGGCCTAATGATATGGTGGAAACAGGCCTAGTTACCATATTAAACGTTTGTTGATGAATTTATAAAATAAATATTTTTAATGTAACATCTAGAGTGAAATAAAACACAAAGAGAAAAATTGTATTTAATGAATAGCCTTTATAGCCTATGAATTTATTAAATTCAGCACAGTTGTGAAATACTCTCTTTACTTAAATGATTGTTTACTCTCAAATGAGATAATTTAGACTTCTACATATCAAAATACTTTAAACAATGTATTATCTAAACATACAGTTAGTCATTTCATAAAGCTAAACCAACTTCTTTTCGATGAGAAAGTCTTTGAGGTTTTTCATTTGCCAGATTCCAACAGAGAGGAGGATTGATGTCTGAATAATGGCCCACCACAAAACGTTTCCATTTGTTTCCTCACTCATTTGGCGAAACTTCTCCTCACGTTCCTGGTTGCAGTAAAATAAACATACAAATTGCATATAATCACAGAGAGTAAGTACACCTTGGAAAACGTGGACAGTTGACACTCAGTCTGGTCCTCATTCCGATTCTGGCAAGCAATTAATAAGGTAACATTTTGTTGTCAGGCCATCCTACTAGCTGTGTTTGCTTACCCTTTGGAAATGTTGCTGTCTGCTAATGTAATGCATCTGGTCAATGAGATGTTGCAGGTTGTATTCCATTGCTTCCATAGTGTCCTTTGCCTCAGCAGCATTAGGATCAATTGTGTGCTCGCCCATCTGGACATCTAAATGCACTTTCTGTGCATAAAGAGAAAAGTAAAAGCCCCTAGGAGACATTTTAAGCAGGTCAAATTCAACATGTGAGGTCACAGCATCACACAACTCACCAGACGATCACCAGCGAACACGGAGAACCTGGTGGAGTTGGATTGCATGCACACGAAATGTTGACCCGAAGCATGGGATTTAAAGGTGAATTTTCCATATCTCCCAAAGCGTTTTAACAAGACCACCTGCACATGACAGAGCGAATCAGAAGAATTGTTCCAGGTGGTAATAGTTAACAGTTTGTGTCATTTTCTGTTATTTCATGAGTACATAAAGAGTTGAATGCCGTCATACCTCATGGTTAGGGTCTCTCACAGTCACTGTCAAACCAAGGTGTGGAGTATTGCCCTTCTTATTTTCATCCCAGTGCTCTAGCAAAAAGACACCTGAAGGGAGAAACCAATAGTCAGTGATACTGTAGTCCTTATTAAAACATTTTGTCCACTAGGACTAATGTAGCTACTTTCTATATACTTTTAATACAGGGGGCAATCCATGACCCACAAAGCTAAATTCCCAATTAATTGTTCAAATCTTGACGGATATTGTATATGTGTCATTTATTACTAACATCAATAAGCCAAGACGCCTGCATGCTACTCTCTGAAAAAACAATGGACTTTTCTGGAAATTAGCATTTGAACTCTCTCTTAAACATTAGCATCCTCATGCAATCAAGTCGATCACACCTCAGTATGGTCTTAATCTGCATCTCCTACCCTTCCCCCATTTCTTCTCTCCACATCCTCCAGACACTCGATTATGTATTTTTCTGAGGTCAGGTGTATCTTTTTATTTCAGAGCATTTGATGTTTTGTATTGATTATCTTTGAATCGTCTTTATCTTTGAATTATTGATTATCTTTGAATTATCTTTGTGGTTGCCTAGACACGACCACAACGCATCCCTGAAGTGCCAGCAGAGATTGTGTCAACTAGACTCTCCCCTGTAAGGCCTCCTCGACACGACACTGATCCTCAACAAACCCGTCTCCATATCGGCGTGATGACTCCGACCTTCAACCAGATGGAACTGGATAATATGAATGTTCCCATCCAATCTGACTTCTGACCTGTAATGCTCTCTGAATCATAATTGTACACTGTTCGTTCGTTGGCCAGAGGAGAACTGGCCCCCGACATGAGCCTGGTTCCTCCCAAGGCTTTTTTCTCCATTCTGTCCCCCGATGGAGTTTTGGTTCCTTGCCACTGCCGCCTTTTTTTGCTTTTTACTTGACTTGAATTGATGTAATTGGCATGATACATTTAACTGACTAATAATAAATTGTTACATTTGAATTTATTCTGACTTACTCTTAAAATATTAACTCTAGATTACGTTGCATCCATTGTTACCGCAAATCTGCGTCCAGGGTTAAGTACATACTAGAGCTCAGGTTAGATGGAGCAATGGGCACATCAGGTGAGGTTCTAGATTTCTAACTAACTGCTCGACTTTAGTAAAGTTGTTATGCAGTCGCATTCACTATAGGGGGCTAGATATACTATCGAGATAATAGCAAGCATTGGGGCGGCATTATTTCATAGTACAAGGCATAACCTCTGATTATTGTTTGAGCTTTAACTAAGTTGTTATATAGGCGATTGTAGGGGGCTAAACAGAAATGTTATTTAAATAATGGCAAGCAGTGCCTATTAAATAGCATTAGCCATAACCTCTGACTAACGATCGAACTGGCGAGTTTGTAACTGGGATCTTCGTAAAAAAGAACGGCCGGCGCAACATTGGTAACAGAATGAAAGAGTTATTTGGAATTGGAATTAAATTACTTTGTCACACTTAAACAGTGCGAACATGCTGTTATCCTTCAACCACTCTACTAGAAACCGTCATTGGGCCAATTGGGTGGGACTTACAGGCAATACTGTAAAAATGTAAAAATATCACTATAATATTGAGGAATATTACAGTGCCCCCATTAAGCTATTTTAAAGGTTCTTAATTTTGTTTTGGAGGTCTCCTACAATAGGTTTACATACATCCAAGGTCAAAAAAACACATAATATGCATTGCAGCATCAACTCTTTTCTCACAGTGTCTGAAATGATTCAATCAAGAATACGGTCTCAAAACCCTCCTTTCCGGGAGCCTACTCTGCTATATTTGGTCAAATCGCCCAGTCTGTTGTGATTGGTCGTCGATCACTTACAGCATGTGTCGGAAATGAAACGGTCATTATCATATCTGAATTTCAGCTCTGGATCTTCCTCAGCACTTGATACACAGTGAAACAAACTGTAACAATGGTGTTGGTTTTACTGTCCTCATCCTTTGTAGGTGCATCAAAGTGGATTTGCTTTCACGGTACAGAAAAGTGTCTTCTCAACATGTCAACAACTACACAAACCAAACTCTTCCAGGCCTCAGATACAATTAATGTTTGAGGGCGGGTCAAAGTAGACGTTGTTCCACAAAAGCCAGTTGTAACAGCCAGTTAAGTAGCCTACATAGACTGCCATTATGCAACTTTGTTACAAACCTACGAAGGTTCAAGCAGGAAGTAACACTGGAATAACTGACGATTCATTTCAGGGAGTTCGGAATCAGTTCTTTGTTTTGGGAGACAATATCGTGCACTTTGATTTTTGAAACTCTACAGACATTTTAAATTCACAAACAGCTGCATTACATGTTGCAAGGTCACATCAGAAAATTCATAATAGGGACACTTTTAGGAAATTATTATGCAGGCCTCAATATTACTGTATGTAGTTGAATGTGACAAAGGTCTGAAGATTTCACAACCATTATATTCCAGTCCATGTTTAATATCAGATGCCATTGTAAAGCATTTTTAATTAATTCATTATGATAATAAATTTGGGGCATTTTTAAATAAATTATAATAATAATACTGTGTTTGTATCAGTCTATAAGCCCCTAAATTGTCTCTGGCCTGTGTGCTGTTGTTGTTGTCTAGATAAGAAACTTTTTACAGATTAAATACATTCCAGTCAGTTGCATGCAGATATTTGCATCCAGAATTTATC